CAAAAGGATTTCAGAGCACTATTGAATTGAAACTATGGATAAGAAGGCAAACTAGAAAAGTATATAAGAAAAAGGAAAAGAAAATTTGATGATATTGAAATGGCTTATTTATTACATGAAATTATCAACAACTCTCAACTACCTTATTCAGTTTAATCCAGATTGAGATTTAGGTTATTAAGATACATATGTCAGCTATGTGGCCTGGGACTGTGGTTATCAGTTAAGGGTTTGGGTAGATCTGCAAATCTGATAAGGACCCCTTACAGCCTCATGCCCTTTTTATAAGAAACAGAATAAAAATCACGTCTGCAACTCTCAGGAAATAGCCACCAATTACTGAAGCATAACCACCTTGTCTAGATGTAGAGGTTGGATTGCTGCTTACAGATCACATTTGGGCCTGTCATGTGATAGCTCAGCGAACTTGGGTTTCCTTAATCTGTTGGACGTTTCTGTATATTTTTTAGGTGCCTCAATTAATGCATCACTAAGATAGAAACTTTCAATCCAGACAGATAGGAAATTAACATGTTGCTAAATGAATTTAGATCCATAGCTGAGTTAAAAAAAAAAAAAAACACATTGAGATGAAAGAGTTAGATATTGATTCATGTTGTTAAAAGTGGATTTCAATGTACAAAATACTAACTCAACAAAAATCAATAATCCCTTTCACTTCACAGTGTGCCATTAAACATACCATTCACTTTTTCAAAGAATGAATGTTTAATTCAAGACACGTTCCATATAGCCGCTGCCATAGTTAAGAGTACACAATACAAGTTGACAGGAAAAAAGGGGGAGAATCTGGGGAACAGCAGTGTTCCTGTATCCTCACATCCATTCATTAGGCTTATTCTGATAGTTGGGGAATAAATTAAGACTACTAAAAGCTAATATTTTCTTTCATTCCCAAGTTCCAAAGTCTGAAAGTGTCAAACCTTAATATGAAACAAAGTTGTCCATTTTAGTTTCAATGATGAGGGACAGCTAAATGTCCTGTAGATCAAAGAGTTTTATTATTTGACCACTGAAATACTCAGGAATTTGATAGCCTCTGCCTCCATGAGAGTTTCACTCACTTTATGAAAAAACTTACCACCAAGCTGTTTCTGGTCTCATCTGTCAAAGAAACATACCCTAACTCATGGGATATTGTAGAACAAAAGTAAATAAGGATGTTTTTCTTAACAAAAGGCATTGCACAAATACAGCTTGTTAATAGAGAAGTTCTTTAATGTCATTCATAATTATGTGTGTGCATTATTAGAAATGGCTACTTTTCTTTCACAATATATCTGAAATGTCATTTAGTACTAAATATGAAATATAATTAAGAGTGATTATTTTCTGTATTTATTCAAGCAAAATAGTAAATCATTCTTCCTATAAAATTGTCACAAGTTCACAAATTTGAAAACACGTGTTCTGTTTTTGTCCCTGCCAACTCTGGTACTTTCTTTAAAGAATTTAAAAGGGCAATCTAATCACCCTTAAAATAAATGTGTTTTATTTTTATCTACTCTACAATTTAAAAATTCTTTCAATTTTTCTCCTGCAAGGAAAGTTTAATGAGGCATATTTGCTTGTTTCCATGGTATTTCAAAGGAGGATTACTAGCTGAAGGCAAGAAGATGCATTAAATAAAAAAAGAAAGGAGAAGAAATAACAGTGCTTGCAATAAGAAAAACTTTATTTTTAAAATAAATTCCTCAGAGTAGTAAACATTTATAATTTGTAAAACAATGCCAGTCATTTTGAATATTATTTAAAGATGACTTTTTCTTGGAAAAAAGAAAAGAAAGAAAAGAATGTAACATGAGTTTCATCATATAATACAATCTCTACAAAATCCAAAAATACCCCATCTTAATAATGAACCAAAATCCAGTACCATATAAACTGCTGTGTGTATAGAGAAAACAAGAATAAAGTTCAGCTTGCATTGTCTTTGATTTGTTAGCTAGTATGCTGAGCTTTTTGGTGTAACAGACATTGTAAATACCACCTTCAATTCACTTTGAACCTGACATTTGCAAATCCAATCACACTTGCAGGAGATTTTCCTAGGAGCAATCAACCAACATAAACTGCAAGTCAGCCTCTTTTATCTCCAAAGTCTGGTGATTTTCTTTAAATTTTGTTTTATAAGTATTTTGATGAGATCTGAAATTTAAAATACAAAGTAACCCAAACACTTGTATAGAAACTCATGCCGGGATATTACAATATCATATTTATAACTTGTGATAAATACTACCTATTAATATCAACAATCTCTCTTTAACATATGTAAAATTGGGTGAGAGATCACATGGAAGTGGGGGGACGGGTCTTGAACTCACTATGACTGACATCATAGATCCTATTTTAGGGATAGGGATACGAAGCATGAGAAATGTTATGTTTTTGAAGGCAATTCAGTCTACAGACATAGGATACAATACCAACAAAATGAAAAAGAGTATAAAACATTAGAAAATGTTAATATTATGAGGCAATATATTGTAGTGGAAAGAACCCTAAATTGAAATTAAAAGGCAACTGTTTATAATCTTAAATCTGCCAGTTAGCACAAGCACAAAGTCTTCAACTTCAGTTTCCTCATTTGTAAAATGGTGAGAGATTGGATGGATCTCCATCCAATGGATTGGATATCTAAAATACCTTTAAATTTAAGCTAATATATATGATGGGGGTGGAAGGGGAATAGTCAGTAAGCTTAATTTCTATGGTCATTAAGTAGCTTTGAACTCAAAAGCTTGGAAAGAAAAAGGGCCTCAGAAGGAGGAATGCAACAGAGAATGGACTATTACACCTCAGTCTTTTCCTTGTGTGCAGTCAGAGCCTGCAAAATAATAAAGGCAGGAGCTGAAGACTAACTGACCAACCACTTGGACCTTCTGGTCTCTGAAGACCCTTGTGGCAGCTGCAACACAGCTAAGGACCTCCAAAGAAGCTGAATTTACTCAAGGTAAGGCTACCATTGGGGGTGTTACAGAAAACCAGACAAACCATAGTTAAAGTGGTACAAACAAATTTCAATCAGAAATTATTCCAATTGGGGAAAGGAGAGGTCGATATAGAATTGTACTGGAGTGGGGATTTATGGTGAGGGGCTGAAACGCCCAGAGTTCGAGAGACCCCAAAAACAGACCACCAGAGACCAGAGTCAAAGCCAATCGGCAAGGGTCGTTTATTTGCAGGTTCGAACCTGGACCTCCGCGCACTCGTCGCCGGTGACGCTGAGAGGCCCCGAACAAAGTCTTTGCAGCCTTTTTATAGACAGGAGTAAACAAGTCGTGGGGAGGGACAGGGGATCTCTATGGTTACAGGTTTGTCATTGGTTGATATTTAAATGTGAACATATACCACATTTGATTGGTTCCCGCCATCAGGTTTTTGGCAGGATCCAATTACAACATTTAGGATACCTTTGAATTCAACCAATCACAGAGCGAGCCTAGGGTCTTGTTCGGCGACTAACAGGTTAATTTTAACATTAGGTAACAGGGTCCTATCTATAGTTTCTATCTCCAGGTCTCTCCCTCAGTAATGTGGAGGGTGGTCGCTGGACTTTCCTGATGGGGTGTTGCAAGGGTGGTTTCTCCTGCCTTGGGCAATGTGTAACTGCCTGATAGTTTCGGGAAAGCTGAAACTCAGCTTTAAGCAATGGTACAGAAGCGGAAGGAGCTAGTTAGGTTTTAGTTTCCTGTAGTGCAAGCACTTGTACAGAAGCAGAAAAGCTGGTTGAGTTTTTGGTTTAGTTTGTCTAGGCCCCTCACTCCAAGGAGCCGGCACCGATGCAAGTACAAAAGGGTCTTTATTACAAGCTTGAGCAGGGGCTCACCCATCCTGCTGGTGTCTTGGCAGCAAGGTGAAGCCAAGAACAATAGCGAACAGGGTTTTTAAGGAGTAAGGGATGGGGGTGTTACAGTACATGTAGCATCATCACATAAGCACCAATCACAATTACAGCTTCGACCGTTCAGTGTCTGTGAGGTGTTCATTACTTTTGGTGGGACCCAATCATGACCTTTGAGAATCCTTTGAAAATGACCAATTGTGAGGTGAGTTCAGAGGGCCCACATGGGGTTCAGACAAGCAGTGAGAAATTGGCTAGTTTGTATCTGCAGTTTCCAGCCTTGACTCAGACCATAGGAATGTTCCTATTTTTTTCTTTTTGATTAGCTGAACTGAGGGCGGTCTGAGGATGGCTTTAGCCTTGAACAGTCTGAGGCTTTTCCTGGGACTGGGACTGGGGCTACGTGCAGCCCGAGGTTTCTCTTAACGGAGGACTTAATTTTTGGCTCTTCAGGGCACAGTGAGGGGGTCTGTCAATGGGAAATCACTAAAAGGAGAGATCAAGAGTTGGGGAGATTCTTGCCAGTCCGACCTAATGGGATTCTTAAGAAGGCAGGCCGTAGTATGACATCACCTGGGGAGTATTCAGTCACATGTGGAAGGTGATCAGATAACAGTGAGTCTCCCTAAAATGACTTACCAATATTCTTCTTACTGTAACAGGCCAAGCAAGGCTGGGGGCTGGGGTTAAAGGTCAAGGCCTCGTGGAGAAGGGGGATCCACAGAGCCCTACTATAGGTTTCTCAGGGAAAGAGTCCTTGTCAGGGACAAGCAGTGAACCCAGAAATCCACACAGAAGCACAAGAATCACTTAGGTGAGATGTCCTGATTGGGCAATGTCCTGATGAGGACAATTCCACCTTCAGAATAGAAACTGAAATTTCTTTAAGAATAAAGCAGGAAAAAAAAAGTTAAGCAAATATGTGGGTCTATTAAGAATTATACTCAGTGCATTAATGGTTTTTTCCCCTAGAATAAGAAACCAATTGTTTGTGGGTTTTACAGCTCTGTTGATCATCCTCATTTAAACAAATGTCCTCGTTAAAAAATCAGATTTCAGAAGCTTACCGCAGAGACGACCAGTATCCATTTTAATATTTCATTTAGCTTTTTTCTTAAAAAAAAAAAAAAAAGGCTAAGAGTTCCTTGGTGACTTGAAATGTTCTGAGAAAAAAATAAAGAGAAACACTGATTCAACTAAAGTGTTAAATACTCCCGAATATCTAGAGCTAGCAACTTCCCGGCATGGGATGAGCTGAATTTCAAAACCATTGTCATTCCTGAGACAACCTGTAGTTTTAAATGACTAGGCTGTCAGCCCTTTAGTTCTTTGCATTTGCCTTTTCTGCTATAGTGAATAGTAACAATTACATTGCAAACAGCATGTTATTTCCAACTGTTTTTTTGACAGAAATCTTTGTGTTACAAATATTGCAAACTTGAGTTCCTTTGCATGATTCATTTTTTATGTAAATCTTAAAGGCGGAGTTTTATTAAAGGCTCTAATGAAATGAGTCTTTAAAATAATATTGACTTATCTTTTCACATTAAAAAATACTTGATAAACAAAATAGTCAAGGAGGGCCTGTATAGATTGGGAAACAGTTTTTCACAGACAGTTGTTATGTTCATATGACGAGATTGTAATGGGCAGAATTCACTGATGGGAAGAGGTGATGCAGGTTCGAAAAAGAAACCAAGGAAATGATATATTTCTTTTTTCAAAGACTTGTTGCAGTGTGTCCGTTCTTAAAAGGGATGGATTGATTTGTCTTAGATGTAACCAACTGAAAGTATCATTTCTGAAAGAAGACAGAATTTAAGAAAGAAGAACAAATTTTTGTGTTATAAAGTGCAGTAAGCTTGGGAATAGCAGTGGGATGAGCCAGACCCTTGAAGATGTTTATCTGTCAAGCTGATTTAAACTTTTAGCAACTACTAAGCCTTTTAAAATCTAAGGAAAATCCAGTAGGATCAAAGCGTATGTTCTGATTTTTTAAAATATTCTTAAATATCTAAAACAGACTTTTCTTAACACAGAAACATTGTTTAGAATTTGTCATATTTAGCATTTGTAGATATGTGCAGTAGTTTATTTACAGCAATTTGTAATTCTTATATACATGAATATATATGAATATATAAATGAAGGGATCAGATTGGATGTGCTGTAAGATCTTTTCCTTCTTAACATTTTGTAGTTTTAGGAAGTGTTTAATTATGCACAAGTCATTGGTCTTTGCCAAGGGGGTAAGTGCAGGATGAATTCAAATGTTTCAACCACCAAGAGGAACTTAGTGTCCCCCTCAGGTTGCCTAAAGTTCAGACAGATAAGGGACAGTTACTAAACACAGATAGCTTACTCAGGAGGTCGATTTAGTGGAGTGGCATTCAATCTCAATTCCTTAACACAATATTGTTGAATAAGGTCTTCCTTGCTTGTTTAATTCTGTCCAGTACAGTTTTTCTTTGATACCTACAAGGGATACAAAATGTAGGAGAGTAAAAGTCATGTGTACAGATAATTTAATACAAAACCGGAGCCCTATGAATTAGTACAGAAAAAGTCACCAGACTTTCAAAAAAGAGAGATTTTTCTACAAACACTTAGAATGAACATATAACCTATATTATCAGCCTGAATTTTAGTGCATCACAATTATTTTTATTTCATTATATATACCTACATTGTTTCCAAAATGATTTCAAGTGACTGTCACGCCTTGCAATTATATTAGTGAATGTACATTGAATTGATTAGGTTAATAATTACCTAAATTTAGTAAGATTTAGGTCAACAGTTTCTGTCTTCAATGCCTATTGTAAACTCTTTTTACCTTTAATTCTAATAACAAAATTTGGTCAATGTTTTCAAAATATCAACCTGCAAACCATTCTAATTTGTCCTTTTCATTGTACCACATATATATGTGGTTATAAAATGTATATATGTATTAAAATCTAACATATAATAACAAATTTCAGGAAACACTTACCCAAGTAGAGAAAGGGTTGCAGATAACTTTGTTTCAGAAACCTCCCCTAAATCCATTTATTCAAACAATAGAGGGCTTTGGAAAGCCCTCACACCAATAGATTTTTCAGCTAAGATAACAAAAGACTCCTTTTTAAAACCTTCAACTGGCTTTGTTAATCAGCTCCACACTATTGGGTCATTAACTATACACAAACCTTATCAGCAGCTTCCCAAACCACTAATAGTCCCCCACCCTTTTCTCTATGTCCCCCCAACCAGAACTTCATCAATGTACTGCCTGTTTGTTCTCCCCTCTAAAAAGTAACTAAGAATCTTATACAGGAGATCATGACTTAGGCAACAGTCAGTAATAAACTAAGCTTTATCAGATTATGCTGATGGTCTTTGGGGGAGCCTGAGTTAGTAGTACCACTAAAGATCAGGCCTTAATGAGTGCTTTCCCAACCCAAATTCCTGTTGTACCCCTTGAAATAATCTTCTGACTTCCTGCTTTTCAACTCCTTGGGATGTTCTGTACAATCCAACGAGATACCTTGCACAAAAAATTAGGAAGACATCAGCGACTTGAAACATGTCTCAAGTTCCCTTTTTAGATGCATTGTCTGTCATCCCTCAATATTCCAACGCAGTTTTAACCAGCAGGATCTATTCAGTTCTCTCTCCATCCTTCTCATTCTCTGACTTTGCTATTTCCTCCCAACCCTTATTTGTATAAATACTACTCACATTTCAAATTTAGCTGAATTCACATTTCATCTAGTAAATCATCCTTTCTGTTTTCTGTTTAAATTTTCTATGATTTGGATTTCTCTGCCTTTTTTGAAAGTCTGGTATACAAATCATTCTTGTCACTTAGTTGGCCCTTATGTGTGTTACACATTTTAGTTCTCACTGCTCAGAATGATTGGTTTCTTGTGGTGTTGGGCAGAGTGGGAAGTCCACTGGGCCCTAAGGCCCCCACCCAGCCTGTCCCAGAAACATGGTTGGAGGATCTTAGTCTCATGGCAAGAAAAGAATATAAGAATGGACCAGACAGTGGTTGTGCAGTGCAAGTAAAGAGTTTATGAAAGAGTACTCCCTCAAGGTCTGAGACAGGGAAAGCTCCAGGGGGAGCTGCACCCGGCATTTGTGTGTCTGTCTGTTATTGGCAGTTGTGAACTAAGTGGTGGAATATTTATTATTTAAGGAACAGATATCTTTGGAGTGGGCTTTCTTGTTTTTTACTTTTTCTACCTTACTTGGTCAGGGCCTCCAACCTTCTTTGTCTTGGACATATCTGGTTTGCTCTGGTTTCTTGGGACCTTGTTTGTGGAACACTGCCCAGGCAAGTTGCTAAACTTCCTGATAAAGGCTTTATCCACCCCACTCCCTCTTTGTTGGTCTCCAGACATCGTGTTAAATCCTTTTTTTTTTTTTTTTTTTTAAGGTTTATTCATTTTGGGGCTCCTGGGTGGCTTAGTTGGTTAAGCGTCCGACTTTCGCTTAGGTCATGATCTCGCAGTTCGTGGGTTCGAGCCCCGCTTCGGGCTCTGTGCTGACTGCCAGCTCAGAGCCTGGAGCCTGTTTCAGAGTCTGTGACTACCTCTCTCTCTGACCCTCCCCTGTTCATGCTGTCTCTCTCTCTCCTAGGGGGGAAAAAAAAAAACATTAAAAAATTTCAGGTTTATTCATTTTTGAGAGAGAGAGAGACAGAGACAGAACATGAACAGGGGACGGGCAGAGAGAGGGAGACACAGAATTTGAAGCAAGCTCCAGGCTCTGAGCTGTCAGCATAGAGTCTGATGCAGGGCTCAAACTCACGAAGCACAAGATCATGACTTGAGCTGAAGTCAGAAGCTTAACTGACTGAGCCACCCAGGTGCCCTGCATCCTGTTAAATACTAACTAACTGCCTGTTAGAACACTTGGAGGCATGAATTAGATTCTTTATCGCTTTTCCATTTTCTGTGACAAACTAACAAAGTACTTGGAAACACTAAACACATAATTATATCCCTACCCCAGTCAACTTCCTAATCCTTTCCTACTTACACATTCAGTATCTTCCACTTCTTTCCATCTTAGTCTACGTCTTGGTACTGCCTATACAAAACATAGCTCATGACTGACCTCTAATTCCAGCAATGTGGTCTTACCTACTCTGTTGGAAAGTTAATATTATCAAATCTGTGAATGATGCAAAAGTAGTTACAGGCATACCTTGTTTCATAGTGCTTCATTTTATAGTGCATCACAGATCCTGTGTGTTTTACAAATTGAAGGTCTGTGGCAGTCCTGCATGGACCAAGTCAGCACCATTTTTCCATCAGCATTTGCTCACTTCATGGATCTGTGTCACATTTTGAAAATTTGCACAATATTTCAGACTTTTAAAAAAATCATTATTATATTTTTATGCTAGTCAGTGATCTTTGATGTTATTACTGTAAGTTTGGGTGGGCACACGCGCCATGAACTATGCCAATATAAGACAATGACCTTAATAATAAGATGTGTTCAGTTACTTTCCTCCTCTCCCTTTCTCTCCTCAGGCTTTCCTATTCCCTCAGGCACAACATTATCAAAATTAGGCCAGTTAATAACCCTACAATGGCTTCTAAGTGTTCATGTAAAAGGAATACTTTCAGGTCTCTCACTTTAAAACAAAAGCTAGAGGGGTGCCTGAGTGGCTCAGTTGGTTGAGCGTCCAATTTCAGCCCAGGTCATGATCTCACAGTTCATGGGTTCGAGCTCCACATCAGGTTCTATGCTGAAAGTTCAGAGCTTGAAGCCTATTTCAGATTTTGTGTCTCCCTCTCTCTCTGCCCCTTCACAACTCGCATTCTTTCTCTGTCTCCTTCTCCCTCTCTCTTTCTCAAAAATAAACATAAATAAAAAAGGGCTAGAAATAACTAAGTTTAGTGAGGTAGGTATGTTGAAAGCCAACATAGGCCAAAAGCTTGGCATCTTGTACCAATTAGCCAAGTTGTGAATGCAAAGGAAAAGTTCTTTAAGGAATTAAAGGTGGTGTTCCAGTGAACACACAAGTGATAAGAAAGCAAAACAGTTCTTGTTAATATGGAGAAAGTTTGAGTGGTCTGGATAGAAGATCAAATCAGCCACAACATTCCCTTAAGCCAAAGCCTCATCCAGAGCAAGGCCCTGACTTTTTAATTCTGTGAAGGCTGAGAGAGGTGAGGAAGCTGCAAAAGAAAAGTGTGAAGCAAGCAGAGGTTGGTTCATGAGGTTTAAGGAAGACACCACTTCCATAACATAAAAGTACAAGGTGAAGCAACAAATAATGGAGCTATAAATTCAGCTCCTTTAATACACACAGGACTCTTGTGGATGTCTGTTTCTTCTTGATTGAGCTTTTGTACTTTAACACTTTCAAGGAATTTTTCCATTTCCTTTATGTTGTCAAAGTTATTACCATGGAATTGTTCATCATATTTTAGAATTATCTTTTTTTTTCTATAGCGTTTAAGGATGTCACTACCCACACTCCTAATACAGATTGCCTATTCTTTCTGTGTTTCCCACATAGAAATTGATTATTTTTATTAGATTTTTATCAAAGAACCAGCTTATATTTTCGTCATTTTTTTTCTCTTTTTCTGTTTTGTATTTAATTGACATCTGCACTGGTATGTACTGTTTTTTTCTTCTTATTTGCGATGTAATTGGTTCTAAAACTTGTCATCAGGTGGAAGCTTAGGATATCGGTTTGAATCGTTTTTGTTTTTAAATAAATGTGTTTTTTTTATCTCTTTGCTTCAAAATATTTTCTAATTTCCATTTTTATTTATTTAACTTCTAAATTATTTAGAAGCATGTTATTTAACTTCTAAACATTTCAAATTTGGGGTTTCTTTTTTCCTGTTCTTTCTTTCTAATTTAAAATAATTATGGACAGATGACCTATTTTATGTGATTTGAATTTAGCCAACTTGTCTTATGGACCAGACAATTTTGTTTTAAGTAAATGTTCCATTTGCATTTTTAAAAGTACATAGATTCTGGTATTTGCAGATTCTGTTGTTTTGGGATGGAATATTCTGAATATATCACTATGTCAACTTGTTGAGTATTGTTCAACCCTTTTACAACCTTATGTCCTATATATTTATTCTATCAATAATTGAGAGTCAGTTATTAAAAATCCTCAGTAGAATTATAGATTTATCTATTTCTCCTTGAAGTTCTATCCATTTTCACATTTTGACTTGTGAGACTGTGTTATCAGGTTCATAATTATTTAGAATTGTTGTATCCTCTAAATGTTATTGACTTCTTCATCATATTGTAATGGTCATATTATCCTCAATGATATTTATTCTAAAATCTACTCTCTCTGAAATTAATAGAATTTTCTTTTCTTTAGTGTTTTCCTAGTGGTATATTTTTCTTACTCATTAATTTTTAACATATTTGTGTCTTTATGTTTGGGTCAATTTTTAATAGGGTCTTGCCTTTTGAGACAAATGATCATCTCTGCATTTTAATTTGGGATGTACAGATAATGACACATATTATGACTATTGATAAAGCTGTATTTATTTTTCAAATTTTCTTCTTATTTCGTCTGTGAGAAGAATGGAGGAGGGTCTGTAAAGTATTCTCCAAACTAAGAAGGCTGTTTAAGACCAAGGAATGAAGTAAGCAGTTCTATACCATTAGTTTCATTTAGGTAACTCGCTGACAGGAGGGATCAGGTAGATGGATGATCCAGGCAGTACACACCCATTCTCTGCCCAGTCCTGACCTTAATCCCCAGCTTTTATAGAGTGAGGGCCATGGTGGTGAGGTCACAGGGTAGTTATCTTAAATGGCACCATCTGTGCACTAGTCATCTATGAGTTTACATAACTTGTGGTACCTTCTGTGTGCCCCTGTACGGAAAATCAGAACACACTTTCTCACATTCCAGTCAGAGCATACACTACCCTCCATGGGGCCTGAAATGCAGAGCCCTGAGGGAGGTCATTGCATGAGCATGGACCAGATGGAGGGCCAGCAGTGGAGTCAGTGCTGTCAGCACACTTTCATCCTCCTTTTTGGCCTTGTTTTTAATTGAGTGTCTCTTATAATTGCATTTTATTTGATTTTTTTGTACCTTGGTTATGACTATTTGTTATTTTATTGGTTACTTTTGGATTTGTATTATATATCATTTACTCACCACATTCTATATTTAAGTGAGTAATCTTTCACATATAATAATCCTATGACAATATATTTCTCTTTTTTGTCTTCCCATTCTTTGAACTAGACTTACCATAGATTTACTTATACGTATATATCAGGAAACTATTATTTTTTCATTAAATAATCTATTCTCTCCCATTGTTAATAGATTTTTTATTTAGAGAAATTTTAAGTGCACAGCATAATCAATTAGAGTTGAGAGGGTTCCCATATATCCCCTGCCTCTGCACATATGTAGCCACCCCCACTATCATTGTGCTTATAATCAATGAACCTAAAATGACAATCATTATCACTCACAGCTTAAAGTTTACCTTAGGGTTGTACATGTTGTGGGTTTTATCCATTCTATGATGTACATTTTGTGGGTTTTAATGTATGTATGATGACATGTATCCACCATTGTGGTATCATACAGAATAGTTCCACTGTTCTAAAACTCTTCTGTTTTGATTATTCATTATTCCCTCCCATTATCCTCTGGACACCACTTTGTCTTTTTACTGTATCCATAGTGTTATCTTTTTCAGAATGCCATATAGTTGAAATCATATATAGAATGCAGCCTTTTCGGACTGGCTTCTTTCACCTCGAAATTACACATTTAAGTTTTCTTCATGTCTTTAGTAGTTTGGTAGTTAATTTCTTTTTAGCAGTGAATACTATTCACTTGTCTACTCATACCAGAGTTTCTGTATCCATTCACTTACTGAAGGACATTTTGACTGTTTCCAAATTTTTGCAATTATAAATAAAACAAGCTATAAACATCCATGTGCAGGTTTTTTAGTGGACATAAGTTTTCAACTCATTTGGGTAAGTACCAAGAAGAGTGATTGCTATATCATAAGATAAAAGTATGTTTAATTTTGTGAGAAATTGCCATATAGCCTTCCAAAGTGGTTGAATGATTTTGCATTTACAATAGTAATGAATGAGAGTTCTTGATGCTCTACATCCTTGCCAGAATTTGGTGCCGTCAATGTTCTAGATATTAGCCATTCTAATAGGTGTATAGTAGTATCTCGTTGTTTTAATCTGAAACTCCCTATGATATATAATATGGATCATCTTTTAATATGGTTATTTTTCATCTCTTTAGTTTGGTGAAGTATCTGTTGAGAAATTTTTTCCATTTATTTTTTTTATTTTTATTTTTTTCAGCCTGTGGCTTGTCTTCTTATTCTCTTGGTCCAATATCTTTTAAAGTGATTAAATATTCATAAATATAGCCTTATATATTTACCAATGTAATGGTTAATTCTACTGCTTTTCATTCCTTTGTATAGATTTGTATTTTTATCTTGTAATTTTCCTTCAACCCTTAACCTTCCATATAGTATATCTCTGTTGCTGTTGTATTATTTCAAATCTTGTGTGTCTAAAAGGCACTTATTTTCCTTATATTTCTAAAATATATTTTCATTGTATTTAGAATAGCTGTTTTCTCATTGCTTTAATCATTTCAGTACTTGAAATTTGTTCTTCTACTGTCTTTTGATGTGCATTCTTTCTGATGAGAAATCTGCTGTTATTCTGATATTTCTTTTTTGGATCATTGAGTTTTTGAAACTGTGGGATCATTTTTTAATTGTGTTTGGATATTTGATGTATTATTTCTTAAAATACTTTTCTTGGTGTCTGTTTTCCTTTATAGATTCTAATTAAACTGCTTGAGGTTGTTTTATGAATCATGATGGGGAGGGTTTATTTTTTTTTGTCTTTTTTCTATTTCTCATTTTGTAGTTTTTTATTGTTTTATATTTAATCTTATCCTCTGTAATGCACAATGTTAACTCTCGCATGTTTCATTTCTGGCAATGAAATTTTCATCTCTAGAAGACAAGTTTGAGTCTTTTCCACCCAGTATTGTTCAGACTTCTATTTAACATTTTCAATCTTCTCTGTTTTGACCATATTAAATATGGTTTTAATAAGTATTTTTATATTTTTATCTAGTTAATATGTTATATGTGTCATTTCTGAGTTGTTTTTGACAGACTGCCATTTCTATAAATTATGAAAAATAATTTTAGCTTCTTTGCATATCTAGTAATTTTTTATTATATTTTACTCATTATATGCTAGGTATTTTTTTCATTCCTGTAAATGCTCTTGATTTATGGT